ATTCCAAAGTTTGACGTTTGTTCCTGTTTTCTGTTTTCACGCTTCCCTGGCTTGCTGACTCCATCAAGATCCAGAGGCCTCCAAGAACTGTGCAGAAGGCTGACCTTGCAGTATGTTTGGCCAATATCTGAGAGATGCCTCACTTTTAGCATCAGATTTCCAGAGAGAAAGTGGTGCATCTACCAATTCCTTCTACTTCATAGCTGCTTCTTATTCATGCTCTTCCCTGAACAGTTGTCATGTTCCTTTTTGAAGGGTTATTAATTGACAAGGTTTTGTCGTGCTGTAGCTTAATTTCATTCTTTAAATCCAGCCTATCTGACAAAATGACAGCCTATTAAACCTCACTAAACACGTTTGGATGTTTTGTGACTATCTTCTCATGAGGCTTCATCACTCATGTTTTCAGATTTGATGATCAGCACCACTCCCAGGGATTTCCAGTTCAAAATCTATTAAGTAGGGTTGAGATTAGTACTCTAATTCAACTTATCTGAATTGCAAATGCAGTGTTTTGTGTAGCCTGGGAACTTTATACATTTAAAAGAAATGTCAACACTTCAAAAGACTAATTTAGCACCTGGTACTGTAAAACATTTCCCTTCTTCCCACTATTTGCACATGACTTAGAACATAATGGTCCTTTTCCCAGCCTTTATGCACAACCCAGGAGGCCAAGACTGTGTGGCTGTTGAGGAAGCACTTACACTTCCCAAGGAGTGACTGATGCATTTGGATCAGCAGGCAACCAGGAGCTCAACCAAAGAAAGGCTCAAATCCATACTTTTGCATCTGAACAGAAGCCAGAGCCTGAATAACACATTCTCTCTCTCCTGCATCCTGTTTTTCAGGACAATACTCACAACTGTTAAGAACCACCTCGCTAATAGAAAGTTTAGATTTGGCCTCCTAATGAGCCTAAACCTGGGATGAATGGGTTGTTTTCTTTGTGAGGCATCATTAACTGAACTCTGCTAAAGCACTGTGCTTCCTCCCAAGGCATAAGCTCCAAGAACACCATCCACAAGCTGTCTCACATATATCCATACTAAACACACATCACTTTACAGCCTTCAAAAACGGTAACATTTCTCCAGGCCCATATCTGACCATCCCAGTGGATCATGAAGGCACATGTTCTACACCACCAACTAGGCACCCTCTCTGTACCCTCAATATACAGCTACTTGGGAAGCTAATTCCCAAAATAACAGGACCACCCAGGCACTGCAGCAGTGACTTGCTTTGCCTTCTGAACTCATCTGACCAAGCCAGGCATCCCCCTATGGAAGCCCAGCATGCACCCAAGGACCCCACACCCGGAATGACTTGTGTCCCACAGGCCACAGCACTACTGCAAGGATCCCTGCAGGCTGATAGGAAATTTTACAGTTCCTTTATATTTTAACATTTGCTTGGAAACTTACATGCAGCACTAATACTTCTTTAAATTTTTTTTTCACACCAACTGATTAAACCCCAGTCTATTTAAGAAGCATTCTCCCTTTCTTCCATTCCTTCAGTGTTTTGAACAGATGAGCTTAAGACACTGTCATAATTATTTATAAAACATAATGCTAAAGCATTATAGAGATTTCCACTTACACAGGGTTAAGAAATAAGATGTTATTTGTGTTCCATCAGCACACCCGGGGGTTAGGCCTCTGCTGCAGCATGACAAGCAGAATATACATTTTAACAGACAGCATAAGAAGAAGGAATGTTTCCAAGACACACACAGCCTGGAAATAAAACAAACATGCCTTTTTCCCTCTGTCTCATCAGCAAATAACTGGCCCAGGTGAGATTTCCTGCTCAGGCACAACAAAAGCAGGACAGGTAAAATGTTACAGGCAGGCATTGCTTCCACACAATCCATTAGCTGACACAGCAGACTAACTTTCCTACTCTTCAACCTAGAGACTATAAGTTCAGCTTTCTGAAAAAAAATGGGTCAAACCTGTAAAGGCCTTTGGCCTGCAAAAATCTTTCATGCACCATGCTGTTGTCTTTAAACATTTCCATGATCCAGTGAAACAGCACCAATGATGTAGGGCCTGACTCAATCGCCACAGACACACAAAAGGTTCCCACAGATTTCTGAAGAAGGAGCTGAATCAGAACCACAATCACAGGCCCTGTGATAACGGTTTCAACATCTTCCAGTAACCCAGATAACAAACGGTGCCCTGAAAGGCAATTACAGACCCTGTGCAAATCAGCATTGAGCTTTGAGCCTGTTTCTGGGTGCTCTCCCAGCACAAACCTCTGTCCACCTGCTCTAGAAAATGCCTGAGCTCTGAGGGGCAGGTCTGACACTTCAGTGCATGTCCTCATTCCACTGAGCTGGAATCACAGCCTCTGCAGCAGCACACAGTGAGAGAGTTCTGATGCTAAGCAATGGAAAGATCTCTTCTTTCAGTATCCACAGTGTCTGATTCAGATACACAGTGTTTGAATCCAAGAACTGTGATTTCAGACCATTAATGACCTAAAAGGAAGAGGTAGGGTACAGGAGGCACATTTATGGACACACAGCTGCACACGGCTGGAGTGATTTGAGAAATCTGAATAGGACATGGTGCCAGACTGACCCCACCTGGGGAGGATGGGACAGGGGGGGTGCATATTGATTGCTCTCAGGTCCCAGAAGGGAGAGCAAAAACATTCCTGTTCCAGACACTCTGCAGATGGGAAATGCAATGTGTGGTAGAGATATTCCTTATGATAGTTACTTGAAGTTCATTTTTCTCATCACAGGAATAAACTTTCTGAGTAAGCTTTGGAACTGTGCTGTTTCTCTCTCCTGGCAGCCATCACCAGCTGTGTTTTCAATATCTCTTCCCAAATGTTTTACAGATACAGGGACACAGATACTGGATGGAAAAACCCCAACACTGAGCAGAAAATGCACTTCAATTTCTGATAACACCTTTGAAAAGCTGCCTGCTCTCATAGATTGGCTTTTTTGGGTCTGATGCTCTGAGAACACCTTAATCTGGTTTTCATTTATAGTTTCCCTTGGAAGAGTGACAGATACAAAGGGACAAGGTAAGAACATAAAACGACCAGGAGACAAACACATGACAGTAATTCTGCACTCTACAACTATTTTATTTATATAAATCTTTTCTCAGTGCTTCTGTCCTTGCTTAGCAAAATCTGAGGGAACAGTGAGGACCCAAGATTCAAGAGTTCAAATTATTGCACTTGTCTCTGCAAGAGAAGATGTCCTTACAGAGAAACAGTTTCTCATACAATATTTGGAATCAGCTGTGCTGAAGATGATAGCAGACTTGACAGATACCCAGAATACCTTAAGACCACCTCAGTCAGCGCTCCATTATTAAAGGAATAAGCAATAGTGTATTTTTTCCTACAGTACACCTCATATAATCCATATGAATAGATGTGAGATAGCAAAACTTACAAGAGCACTGGGAACAGCACTTGGAAGGAACAGCAGGTGCCCTCTTGCTGGCAAGGAGTCAAAGAAAGGATGCCTTTCAATTTCCTCATGGTGGTGATGCTGGATTAATGATTGGACACCATGATCTCAGAGGTCTTTTCCAGCCTTAACAAGTCTATAATTCTAAAAGGGGCTGTGGGAACTATCTCTCTATAAATTACCTCCTTTCAGACATACAAGAGAGGGACAGTGGGGCAGAATCAGTCCCTACAGAATTCCACTCTGCAGTGTGAAGAGAGCCCTTACTCTTTCCGTCTCTTACTGGGATTTCTGAGTCACCTAAGCCCAGCCCAGCACCTCCTGCCCCTGGCACCCAGTGCCCCCAGCACCCAGTGCCCCCAGTGCCCCTGGCACCCAGTGCCCCCAGTGCCCCTGGCACAGCAGCTGCACTGTGGGGAGGAGGGAGCTCTGACAGCTGGCAGAAGAACAGATGCACAGATTCCACATCTCACTTTAGAGAGCAGAGGCTATGCAGGAGGCTGAGGGCATCTTGTGGTGCAGGGGGCACTGGGGCAGCACAAAGGGGCAGAACTGCAGCTCAGAGGGATTTGGGAGCTGACACCACCCAGGCAGAGAGCACCAGCACCCAGCTGACCTGCTTCTGGTAACAGAGTCCACAGCAGATAGTATTTCTCCTGAGCAGTCTAGCAAAGGCCAGATGTGCAGAAATCCAAATATCAACAGCATGTGCTCATCTGCAGGACTCCTGTGCCACATCAAGGCTGGCAAAACACAGCAGAGCCAGACAAGGGCTTTGGCCATGGACCTCTTTAGTCCAGCAGCATTTCTGTGACAGCCTGCTGGGAATTGCCTGTGAGGGAAGGGACGGAATGCACATGCAGCTGACTTCCCAAAGTTGCTGGGAGAATCCCTTTTGCCTTTTTTCTACATGACACTTCTGCTCAAAACTAATAGGCCGGAACAGGAGGATATAAACATTCCAGTAATTCATGGTGACTTCAAAGACAACACTCAGTCTCCTTACATATAAGATGTTGGCTTGGGGATTTCAGTTTTGTTTGTTTATGTTTTTCAAGCTGTGTATTTATCTTGCACAGCAGAACCACAGGCACAGGAGCTGTATGTTTTATATTACAATTTCTGCTGGAGCACTTAAGACTAAAGCTTTTTTTTTTCCTATAGTGAATCATCATGTGTAGGGGGTGGCTGCATTATGTTTATGTTTTTTAAAATTAACCCAGCTAATTATTTGTTCCATTCTGCACACGATTTGTTGCTTCTCTTTTAGAAACTCCTTGAAAGACAAGTTTTGGAAATAAAAAGACATCTGGCAAGTCTGAAAAGACAGGAGCAAGCACTGCAGACTAACTGGAACTCCACCACGGACAATTTCCTTCCTCTCCCAGAGATAAATCAAAATAAAAGGAAAAGAAAACAACACTAAGAGAAAGACCTATCCAGAGGTAAATTGCAGTGGGAGCAAAAAGGTTTTATCATGTTAGCTATATCAAAACCTGACCAGAAATATTTACCAAGAACTGGAGAATTCAAAAGCACATTCCTGGTTTACCTTGTCAATGCTTTGCTTTTCCATTTCCCAGCTTTCCAGCATGTGCAGCTCTGGTGTCTCCCAGCCAACCCACATTACCACAGCCTGCTCTGGCTGCTTATCAGGTACTCGTGGTCTCCCAGCCTGGTGGAGCAGAAGCCCTTGTCCATTTGTAAGCCAGCACACCTTTCACACAGAAATATGCTTTATTCAAGATATTTACATGGCAGTATTTTAGAAGACAAGAGAACAGTCTGCAAATTCTCGCCTCCGAGCTCCTTTTTGCTTTAAGACAGAGGTGTGTGCCCACGAGGGAGAGGGGTCCTGATGTCCCAGAGGGCTGTGCTGAGAGGGGCAGGACCAAAGTCTAGCACCAAACCCCAGTGCTCACCTAAGACCATCTGCTGCTCATTCAAACCAGCTGAGAACATTTATCATCCCTAACAGACGTGGATATCCAAGCAGCCAGAAACAAACTCTCCTGATAACTCTCCTGGTGATCACTCCTGATAACCAGGTTGTGTCATATCAAGCTGTTCAGAAAGACAGAAATGGTGCAATTGGGATTACAGACCCTTTGCAATGACATCTTGGAATATAAACCACCCCAAGGTGATCACAACATGCAATCAGGCACTGTGCTCATGAAAATGCTACCTAGGGAAATACACTGGTTACTTGTTACATCAGAGTTTATATTGATACAGAGGAAGACAAACACATATTTAGCTTTTTGTGTGGTTGGAAACACATCCAGATAAAGAAACTATATGAAGATTGTGTCCTTGGTTCATTACTTTGGGATATGACTCCATACCACACAAAAGCCTACTGATTTTTTCATGATTTATTACAATTCATGAACCAACAACCAGCAAGTGTTTTCCCCAAATGCCTGGCAAAAGCCAAAAACAGCACAAGAAAGGGTTTTGCAGGTGAAAGCGCTCAAAGTTGTGCTGGTAGATGCAGACCTGATTTAAAGTCAGGTTTAAAGGGAGAAAATCTCTAAGCGGGTGTTTGTACTTAGGAAATAAAAATTAAAATACATACATTATTTATTAAAGCTTCTATAAATTGAGTTAATCTAGCGATATGTCTAAATATGTACCAGCTTTACATAATTTTATATTATTGAACAAGTTTGTTAATGATTTCTTAATGGAACTTTTATTTTAGCTAAACAGTGTTATAGAGCAGAAATATGCAAGTACCAAAGCAGAGGAGGCCTCATGTCTCATCTTTCTACAGAGAATTTCTGTACTAACATAAATTATGAGACAACATTAAAAAAATAAGCTTATCAATATTATCTCTGTCTTACTACTTCTGATGATTTTCTTTAGTTAAATTTATCATTAGCTATTTTTATGCATGGAAACGGGTGTATTTATGGAATCACTCTGTGATACAGTATTTATTTGGTTTCTTATTATGATTTGTTTCAAAATTAATTTAAGATCTAATGAAGAATAACCAAACTTTTAAGCATGAGTTGTCCTGTTTCTATTTTGCTATGAGTTGAATTCATGCATTGTTCCTTTCTATCACCCCCTCTATGCACTGGAACTACCCCTAGCTTGATTTTTTTTTTCATTGTGAGAGCCTATTATCTACCTATTTAATATCTACCAGCATACAAGACATTAATTCTTTGTTTATTTGACAGTCATTATTCCATTTTAGGAACCCAGAGATACTTGATAATAAATAACTAATGATATTTCAAAAAGGTAGCGCTCTCTAGCAACTGTCTTCATGGCCCATGTATCCAATTCCTGATTTATCTGCTGATTTTCAGTTATGTTTTTTAGCCCAAGCAGAATAAAATAGCATTTAGACAGTATCTTAGATGAGCTGTTTACCGCACTCCAATTCTTTTGTGCTGGTTTTGGTTGGGAAAGAGTTAATTTTCTTCCCAGTAGCTGGTATGGGACCATGATTTAGATTTGTGCTGAGAATAGAGCTGATAACACAGGGATGTTTTCATTACTGCTGAGCAAGTGCTTGTACAGAGTCCAGGTCTTTTCTGCTCCTCAGCCCCCAGAGAAGGGCTGGGGGACACAGGAATTGGAGAAACACAGCTGACCCCAGGGATATCCCAGACCAGAGGGCATCGTGCTCAGCAGATGAACTTGTGGCAAGACAGTAGGACAAATAAGAATGAACATGTCTCTTTCTGTAAATCTGTTTGCACAATAATCTAGTCATTGACTCAAACAACAGCATTTTTCATGGCTTTCTTCAGATGTTCAAATTTTAGCTGGGATCTGACACACTACCAAAGAGCTTTACAAACTGGGTGCCTTCAGAGCTCATCAGCTCTGTAGCTGCTTTTGGCCTTTGTTAAGTTGTCTCTTTCCATTTGCACTCCAGATTTGAGCTGTGTGGCTGTGCATTCTATTTAATTACACAGTGACAGGAAGCATGAGGCACGAAGCCCCATGCAAATTTGAAGAAAGGTAGTCCCTGAGGACAGGGATTCTGCTATTCCTCCTGAAAAGGCTACTCTTTGTCACCTAATTCAGGATTTTTGGTGCTGTCACATAAAGGAGTTCTTTAATGGGCTCAGCCTGTGTCAACTTGCTCCTTCCAGCCCTGTGTTCTCATATCAATTTGGATGTGAGAACTTCTCTACTTACAGTAGTCTTACTACTGCTTTTATTTATGCCAGCAAAGAGGTTTTGATATTTCAGCTCCCTGTCCTCCTTCCCAACAAATACATATACTGTCTTAAAAGGAAAAAAAAAGTGTTGAGAGAAAAGGCAACATTTTACTCCTCAAATGAATCCTAGACAACAAAGATCAGGAAATATGCTTACATGAAAAAAAAAAAAAACAAAACCAGAAGCTCTTCTCTGACCCTTTTAGCATGTCAGGAATCCAGCTTGTTCTATGTGGCATGTCTTCCCAATTAGGGATCAGGCTTCCAACATGGACACCAAAGTGGGAGGGATAACATGGGAAGCTGGATTATTCTTAGGACCTTGCTCAGCTGCTGCAGCCACTGGGTAGAGAACATCCTTACAGCAGCTGCAACATTTTCCATTACCTCCTGGAGTCAGGAACAGGAGCTCTGGATTTTCTGGCAGGAAAATCAGAGCAGGGGATTTTTCTAAGTATTAGGGTGGTTTATGTCAAGATAGTCTTTGGGATCCAGAGTTAGTACTGATGCATATCCAGGATGACTTAATACAGGTCTGGCTATTTCGATCTTGTCTCTCTTATGACTTCCAAAACATTGGGGCTTGGATTCCAAACATACACTACTGCCACTTTGAGCCCCTGTATACAAATAACCACATATATTAATATATATTAATCCCTGAACTACTTCAGCTTATAAGCCCCAAATTCTAAAACTGAAATTCAACTCTGAAAACATCAGTTCAGTTCCAGTGTTCCCCTGCTTCCAGCTCTGGGACCCACTTGGCTGCAGGGAGATCAGTGAGAACCTAAGCATAAATATATGTCTGTAACACAAGAAGTGTTTATAAGAAGGTCATTAGTTCTCTCTAAAATGCTTCTCTCTTTGGGCTCTGATCAAAGATGCTTTTGCAGAATGTTATGAGAAACATTTAAAGAAAAAAATTAAAGAGAAAGCAAAAAAATACTTCCTTATTTTAGATGAGAGACATTCTTTCCCTGGAAAAGGTGCTTCCTGGCCAAGGGTAACCCAGAACAATTTCCTGAGTTAAAGGTTTCCACATTTGGCCATATGCATTTTTCTTTAGAAATGCAGCAACAGCCAGTCCTGGTGAAAGCCACACTGACATGAGTGCCACTGTCTGCTTTAAGTGGAAACTCTCTTTTTGTAAAAACTGCAGCACATGTGGGTGGGCAGGATGCAGAAGGGTGGAGAGGTTTAGTCCCTGGTTGTCATTCTTTAGGTGTGACCACAGTGCTGCAATCTCTGGAATGCAGCTGGACAGAAAGGATGAGGAATGTCCCTGCCTCCCTTGGGGACATCAGTCTGATGATGCCAGGAGATGTGATTTGTCTCTGCAGGAATGTTGCCACCTGCAGCAATTAAATCTCTGCTATAATATGATTTAAACAAGAGGATATTTCCCCCCAGAAAGTGCCAGATCATTGTTTCCTCCAAATGCCTCTGACAGACAGAAAATTAATGCAGTCAGGAGTGCTCAGAATGGGACACTGCAGCTGTCCTGGGAGCAGGAGAGGGATGCAGAGCTTGACAAAATTACTTGAGCCTGACAACTCCATCACCAGTTTCCCCAGACATATCTATAGACAAGTGTTAAAGGAGCTGAAACTGTGTCTGATCTCTGTGTTGCCATCCACTTTCTCTGCCTTGGTGGACAGAAACCAAAGTGCTGTGGACAGAAACCACTGCTGGATGCATTTTGTTATTCCACATACCACGAGCAGACTTCCCAACAAAATCCAACAGCTTCAGTTACATATCAGAAGACAAAAGAACCACTGTGTAGCCATGGATTCATTTTCTCAAGTCTTTTGTAAAGCCTTTTAAAGCTTCTTTAGGATCTCCCTCAAAACAAAGCCCTTATGTCAACAGAAGCTCTTGCTTGGATATGCTTCATCTGTTACTTTTTATGAATATGCACAATCAAAGGGTGACAGCTTTCACAGTTAAGCAAACACAGTTACACAGAGCACACTTCTCCCACAAAAGGTCAGATAATACAACATGCTAAATGTTAAATACACACGAGAGGGATACGTTCCCCTTGAGCACACTGCGACTGGGGAGTTATTTAGGAATATATTGTCCATCTTTTCAGGACACCCTGCAAAGCATCTTTGCAAAGATCTTACCTGTTCAGTGATGAAGGAGCTTGAAAAAGTGACAGCTGACCAAAAGAAGATCCCACAGCTGAGAATGATCTTTCTGTTGAACCGGTCACCAAGGTAACCAAAGATCGGCGCCGCGACCATGAAACTACAGATAAAAACTGCAAAGGAGAGAAAATGATAAGAAACTTAATAAACATCAGACCAAGAACAGGAAGACTAATTTTCTGCAAGCCAAATCCTCTAGAGAACAGCTCCAAATAATTAGACATTCTGCAGCCCTGCCTTGAAGAGATGTGCAGGCCGACAGGCTTTCTGAAGTCAGTGCTTCCTTAATCAAACAGATTTTTCATCCCCAGAGAAACTTCAGACCACTGAACTTGTATTACGTGAAAGCACCAGCCCCTAAGAGTCAGCTGAGCTCAGATCTGGGGATGGGCAAAACCAGGACAGAATAAATTAAGAACTTCTGCTTAAATGTTACTGAGAAGGTGAAGTGGAGGTTGGAAGGGGTTTCAAGCAAACAGAAAACAAGGCAAGGGCTCCTTGTTGGCTCTTGCAGCAGAGACCGGAGAGAAATGGGCCACAGAAGCTGAGGTTCTGTCATCCTTCCATTCATCCTAATTAAAAGAAATCATGAAACAGTGAGGAACACCAGTAAACAGCACTATCATCCTACTGACACCAGCCCTGTCTCCTCACTAGGTCCTTTCACCATCACTAAACTTTTATTTAAATCCATCACTGAGCAACAGCTTCACTAGAACAAAGAATTTTAACCTACCAAGTCCAAACAGGCCAGGATTGTCCTCATCTGAAAGGCTTCAAGTTGATCCTTTGTTCCCTCCAAAACCCCCAAAGCATTAACCTAAGAGCTCCTGTCATGTAGGAACGAGGCTCTTGACAGAGTAACTCCTGCAAAATCACCTCAATTCAGAGCTCACTCCTCTGCCCATCTCAAAACAATCTGGCCTGTGAACCCCCTGAGAACACCTGAGATGAGGCGCTCACACCATGTTCCTTATTAATTTGGATTTTGGCAGAAATTGCCATGTTTTAAGCTGATTTATACCTGCCTTTTGTCCGTCCACATTAGAGAATTGGATAAGGGCAATTACATGGATTTTATTGGTGTGTACTCTGACTATAACTGGCAGTCTGGGATTCAGCAAATCCAGAAGGATTTGGGTAGGACACCAGAATACCTGGAGGTCTCTCTTTAGTCACACAGTCCTGACATTCATTTGTTTTCAGGTAGGTCTTGGAGGGCACTGTGGGCTTTTGGCATAGCCTAACCCCAGGTGTCTACTTTTCACTGTATAAAATGGGGTAGGGGGATAGAATAGATTAAAAAAAAAAAAAAGAAAAAAGAAAAAAAAAAAAGACAAGAGCATAGCACACACCCCCTTTTGGGTGGAATGTGTATATAAAATTAAAATGGTTAAGACTCAAATAATGAATTTTTCATGGATGATGATATATGATAGTTCAAAAATATGCAGAATGCTGAACTATGACTAAATGTCTTTTTTTAAGGAATATTAAGATGTCAAAGCAGCTTTATAAATAATACACATCCATATGCATCTGTGCTTTCTGACCCACGTGTGTATGTATTTTGCACTGTGATATTTGAACTAAATTACAGGATTACTCTTTTTACATTTAGAGTAAAATAAATGAAGATATGGAGAAATGTTAAGGCCTGAAATGCAGCACATGCAACATATCACACATACTTCAGTAGTAATGCTATGAACAGTTTTGGTATTTACATAAACCCTACTGATAGAACTCAGTCCCTGCATCTATCCCAAAATCCTTGTGCAAACAAAACCTATGAATAAAACTACAAGCAGTGTTTTCACCTTTGTTTTACAGAGAAACTAGACCAGCAGTAGCTCACAAATCTCTGCTCAGCAAGGGCACATCTGCACTGGCCCCACTCCAACAAGGCACTTAAGCACATGCTTATATTAGGCACTTTAGAGTCATCAATTCCATGATTAAGTGCTTTCCTGAATTAACACCAAGGGCTTGGCACCTTGCAAAGCTGGTGCAACAACCTGGCACAAAGGATACGTGGCTGTTTATTGGGAATGAGAAGCAGAAAATGACTGTGACTCGTCCAGACCAGTGTGACCACTGCAGTTTGATCTTTCTCTTGGAAGGACACTACAATACATTCATCTCAGAACCCCATGTTCTGCCATTTTTATTATGTAAAAAAGACACAAAACTGCAAAAGCTTCCAAGGGAAAATTAGAAACATCCAAGTCAGCATCCCACCATTTCAAATATCAAATAATATGGTTAATTCAACTTTGAGACATGCAGGGTGTGATTCAAAACTCACATTAATCAGTGGGATTATTAGCTTCAGTGACCTCTGGATCATAAATGAAAAGTGTAATTCTGGAATTTGGGCAAAATAGACAAAGCTACTCTTTCAAATAAAACAAACTAAAAAATAGATTGTCCAATGACTTTCCAACAATATACATCCTTCTGCTGCCCAAATCCCTTTGGAGGATTTATTTTTGGAAGACTCTGAGCTGTGAGCTTTGTCAGTGGTAAGCAGCTGACTTGACAGCTCCACAAGGTGTAAAATGAAAGGACAACAGAGCCAAATAAATAACAGGTAATGGAACACAGCTGTCACAAGAATAAATGCAATTTATATCAGAGTATTTATGACCCAAATATGCATCAGAGCATTGATTGACTCAAATAAATGCAGAGTATGATGTCTGTGTGGTCTGTCAAAAGGATTTTCCTGTTACAGGCATTTCCCATGAATCAATTTTTGCAATTACTCCTGCCAGTGACAGCAGAGTCTCCTGAACCCCAGCCTGGGCTGGCAGAAGAGAGGTGAACAAAAGTAGGGCATATTCCCAGGTGGGATGGAAACCTGAGTTACTCTAGAACAGGAGGTTCTATGAGCTTCTGTGACAACTAAACACTACAAAGGAGAGACAGCATCCAGAAGACACAAAACTGCAGCATATTCAGTTGGAGAGAGGAGCAGCAGAAACATGTTTAATCTGTAGGAAAGAGGGCTGAGCATAAGGCAGAGGGCTGCATTCCAGTAAAGGAGCCTGGCACTTGTGCCAGCCTCTTCCTCTTTGGCTTCTCTCCCTTCTTGCACAGCATTTTCTGTTCCTTGCACTCACCCACTCCCAAATTAATAACACTGAAGTGACACCACAGCAGCTGCTGCTTCAGCTCAACCACAGCCACAAATCTTTTCTATTAGGGCAGCAGTGGGACAGAGGTTGGCATTGCACTTTGCTCTTCCCAATCAACAGCTCCTCTTCCCATTTTCACGTAGAGACATCCCAGAATATTACAGCTCCTGAAGAGATGTAGAGTGCAAGTCAGGGCAGGGTTAGAAACCCACTGGGATTTAAGATGAGCTGCTGTGAAGGCCGTGATGGCACTGGGAGCAGCTGTGGGCAGGTATAGCTCTGGCAATCCCATTATGGATGTGTACAGCTCATTTCTCCCAGTAAATGATCTCCAGCAGTGCCAGCAAAAGAGGCTCAGTCCCAGCACAGGGTGGAGCTGAGATACATTTCTGCAAGAGTAAATTATCATGTGAGCAAAGGATGAATAAACAGACACAAATGAATGCCATCAAGGAGGGATGTTCTTTTAAGTACAGGTATTTTCAAAAGAAGAACCCATTTGTCTTTATTCCTCCCTTTGTGGCTTAGCCACTGAAATGCCGCCTGTGGTGAGAAGGCAGGAAAAGTGTAATTGCCCAAACAGGATGGCTTGGTGTCTATTTCTGCCTCTGGATGCCTGTCCCACCCTGTACAGGTGCACAAGCACTTTCTCAGCCAGCACTGCCCAGCTTTTTCTGTGCGTGGCTGGAATTACAACAATGTGCAGCATAAAAAGTCTTACACGTCCGACCCAAACACCCACCAGACATGGAAATCCTCCCAGGCCTCTATTGCTGCTGTATGGACCACAGCTTCAGTCCTGTTTCAGGACTATGGCCAGGGAGCTGCTATTCATACACACTTTCCCCTCTCAAGAGCTGCCTGTGTACCCAGGGGAAAAGTAAATCCAACTGTGGAAGCAAAGGAGATGAGAGAAGAAGAAGGAACTGTAGACTTTATATTTAGCAGTCACAAAAAGCTCCTGCCTCCTGGAACTAGACACCATCACTTTTATTTTTCTCTTCTTTCTCTCCAAACAAAACTTTACCAGGTTGACTTTACAGCTATTCCCTGAAAAGGCTCTGACCTGACAGCTCTCCACCCTGTGATTCCAAAGACACTTGCCTCCAACTCACTTGCTCTTTTCTTTAGTGGCCTTTTGTTTAGTGGATTTATCAACCCAGAGATAATCTCAGAGAGGGGCTTCTCCTGCCAGCAGGTCATCCACAGAGTAGAATCAAAAAGGAAGAAAGGCAGTGACAGAGACACACACAGGGACTGTCGTTCCTCAGTTCCTGGAAGGTTGAGCAGATCACAGGCACCTGTGAAAAAGGTCCCTTCTTTTGGTTTTGACTTTAAGCACACAGGGCTTACCTTTTCCTATCAGGAATAATGCTAGAAAGGTTCAGGGTCAGGTGAAAATAGCTTTCTCTATACAAGGATGCTCAACAAAAAAACCCTAGTGGGTATCTTTGAGCCTTGAGTCAGCAGAAATCGTGTGTACACATCAAATTGAGTGCTGACAGTGAGCTTGGCTCCATGGAAGGCAAACCCAGACAGCCTCTGCCTCAAGGGACTGGCATGCACTGAGACACTGCTCAGAACTCTGTGCTGAGAGGTTGATAACATCTTCCCAAAAACAAATTTCCAAACAATGAGAACACCTAAACAGGCAGCTTGCCCTGGATGGGATACTTTATGGGTGTGTACAAGTACAACCCTGGGATTTGGCTGATCCATTTCTACCCCAGGGACTTTCAGTCATAAGTGCACGTGTTTCTCAAGCTGCTTGTGACACCAGTTACCATCTACCTGCAATGGTGAACAAAGACTCTCCAACCTCCCAACCAGCTTCTCTACTCCAAATACATGTTTCTGCTATGCCTTCCTCTTCTAATTTTTGTTTTCTCTATGATTTTATGCTATAATAATAGCATAAACTTAGCACATACAACACCACACATTTAATCACAGTGAGGCATGGTACAATTTAG